TATTTTTTAATGGGGCAACTAGAAAATTTAAAATCACATACATGCCTCCCATATTACTATTATACAACACTGACCTACAATATATAAAAAGTTCCCACAAATCAATGAGAAAAAGACAAACTAATAGAAAACTGAACAAAGGAAATAAGTATATCAAGAAGAACTACACTTGGGGCTCCTGAGTGGCTCAGTGGGTTTAAGCCTCTGCCTTCAGCTCAGGTCATGATCTCAGGGTCCTGGGATCGAGCCCTGCATTGGGCTCTCTGCTTAGCAGGGAGCCTGCTTTCCCCTCTCTCTCTGTCTGCCTCTCAGCCTACTTGTGATCTCTATCCATCAAATAAATAAATAAAGTCTTTTAAAAAAAAGAACTACATTTAACCAATAAACATTCTTATACATATATATGCACTTTACCAAACTAGCTATGTGACTCTGTGCAAATCACTTTAATTTCTCTGTACCTCAATTTTCCCACCAGTAATACGGAAACAAAAAAAGCATCTACCTCACACACTTGTTATGAAGACTACTGAGATAATCTTTGAAAAATATTTACCACAGTGCCTGGAACATATAAATACTCAGTAAAAGTTACCTGTTATCATTATTAATTTTGTCAAAGAAAGACTCAGAGACCAAAACATTTAGAAAAGAAAAGATTTCACTTAGAACGAAACGCAAGGAAGTCCAACTTCGAAAAGACCAGCTAGCAGAACACAAAGTATTTCAAGGAAACAAATGCAAAATTGCCAAGGCTACCAAGATTTACAGCAGTCTGTTCATGATTTAAAAACTTAACAAAGCAGAACAGTAACTTTCTCAAGAGATTACAATAGCCACAAAGGAAGTGACCCATGTTTGTGTACCAACATTGCACAAGGCAGAGATGAGGCGGTCTTTGCCAAGATTGATGGGAAGTATTCAAGGGTTTAATATTGGAGCAATGTGGAGTCAAAAAACTGACTCCGTATTCTTGGGTTATCTCAGGGTACAAACTGCTGTTTCTTTATCTTGATGAAGATACATGATGTGCTTAGCCATAACAGAAGCAAGAGAAAGTGTCAGTTTTCCTTTCATGTTATTCATGGGGGGATAAAAATCTAGAAGCAAATCTACCAAGCTACAAATAATGGTTACCTCTGGGAAACGGGATGGGGAGAAGAGCTTACTATTTACTGGATGTTTCTGTAGCATTCGAATGCTTTATGTGTTCGCAAATTACATCTGTAATATGTAAAAGAACTAATAAGATGATCTAAGCCATCCCGTTTCTCTCTGGTTCTTGCACAGCAGATGGGATAGTTTGCTTTCTAAGCTCTTCAGAGAAAGATTTATAAACTATGCGTTTTCTCTACAACCCATTTCCACCACTTCAGTCTGTAGCATCTGTCAGGAGATCCTTAGCAATTCCAATAGGGAAGGGAAAAGAATGACGTCCACCGAATGGAGGAGGGGAGCATTAATTCCCTCTCGTTTCTTCATTAGATCTCCACCAAACCCTAAGATTCCCCAACTCCTCCAGAGTGAAATCTGGGAGTTCGAAAGTCTCCCACCCTCTTCTCTCCATATCCTTACATTTCCCCCATAGATTTGCCCCTGGGTAGCCCGTTTTTCTATGAGTCCAGAGGAGGAAACGGATTCCTAAGAGAACTCCTGGGGGGAGCAGAATCCACAGTGGATACCAAAAGGACCTTTCATCTGGTTTTCAAACCAACCGAGGCTTCATTCCTAGTCAACCCAGCATGTCTCTTAGGACCCTCAACGAGAGGGTGGTTTGCAGAGAGAAGGGTCGCATACAAGATGCCAGACTGTCAGCAAGCGATGTAGGTTGAGTAAGACTCCCTCATGGCTTAGACCCAAATGCCCCTCGGCCAGGCCACCAGCAGAGCCCTGCAAAGAAGTGACTCTAGAAGCCCCCATCTCCCCCGAGCTTACGGACACAAATAGAGATGTGCCTCTCAGTATGGCACCGACTTGCCACTTCCCACTCGGGACCATGAAACTGGGTTTTTTTCACCAAACAGCCAGGAGTTGACGATATTTGGGGAAAGGAGGGGTCTCGTTATTTTTCTGATCACAACAACATGGGTGGATTGCCAGGATGGAACACATCTCAGAACTGGCTTCTCCAAAGCAGCATATAGGGTAACAGTCACTTGAGGAGCATCTGAATCTATATCATTTTAAACTGGACTGTGAAAAATATGAAAATTAAGAAATAAACTGGACTGTGAGCTCAGCATTTGGGGGGGCTCTAAGATTCTATGCAGTGTCTTTGATCTAAAACAAAGCTTCTCAAACTTGGGTCTTCAGAGATTCTGCTCCAACAAGGGGCAGAGCCTGATCATCTCTGATTCTGGTAAATAGCCCAGAGACCCCAAAGACCCCAAAGACCTCTCAGTGTTGGAGGAAGAACAAGACAGACAGTGGCAATTCACAATAAAAGCTAACATTTGTTGCACATTTACTATGGGCTGGGGCAACGCTCACCATAGACTCACCGGCTTTAACTCATAACTCGCTGACTCCTCCACCGTGAAGAAGGTGCTTACCACCATCTCCAGTTTACAGATGAGGACACCAAGGCTTGATCAGTTGCTCTCATTCTCATAGCAGCTAACACATGGAATTTGAATTCAGCTCTCTTTTTGCTTCGAGCCCGTGCTCTATTGCATACATCCTTGGAATTAATCTTAAATTGGTGGGCACCTTTACCCTGCAGGGTGTTAAAGATATCTATCTAGACCAAAGGGTTTCAATCCTAAGAAGCTTTAAAAAAAATACTGTAGCAGCAACACAAGTGTCCACCAACAGATGAAGGGATAAATGTGACAGTATACGTACAGCGGAGTATGAGTCAACCTTAAAAAGGAAGGAGATTCTGGGCACCTGGGTGGCTCAGTGGGTTAAAGCCTCTGCCTTTGGCTCAGGTCATGACCCCAGGGTCTTGGGATCAAGCCCCACATCGGGCTCTCTGCTAGGCAGGGAGCCTGCTTCCTCCTCTCTCTCTGCCTGTCTCTCTGCCTATTTGTGATCTCTCTGTCAAATAAATAAATAAAATCTTAAAAAAAAAAAAAAGGAAGGAGATTCTGACCCATGCCACAACACGGATGAACCCTGAGGACATTGCTAAATGAAATAAGCCAGACACAGAAGGACAAATACTGTATGATTCCACTTACACGTGGTACCTAGAGTGATCCAGTCCATAAGACCGAAAATAGAATAGCAGTTGCTGGGGGCTGGAAGAATGGGGAGTTAGGATTTAATGGGAACAGAGTTTCACTTTGGGAGGACAGATGGTGGGGATGGTTGAACAACAACAAAGTGAACACCACTTAATGCCACTGAACTATTTACTTAAAAATAGTAAAAATGGTACATTTCATGTATATTTCACCACTTTTTTTTTTTAAACTGGTATCTGGTCCCCATAACAATTAAATCAGAATCTCTCCAGGACATCTGTATTTAAAACAAACCAACATTAGCCAGATGTTTCTAATAAACACTCAGGGTTGAACACGCACTCCAGGAATCAGGGCTCAGAATTCTGGAATTCTTCCTGCTAGAAGTTCTGGACGTCACTGCAGGTCCCTGCCTTCCCATTCACACCCGATACCTGAGCACAAGCCCCCAGCTTGTTGCAAAGGTGGCCAGAATCCAAGAATTAATGGAAGGTTCTGGAAGTGGGAAGCTCAGCTGTATACTGGGTGTTTCCCTGGCTTGTAATTTTCTGCATGTGCCTAATCCTCCTTCACAGTCCGGGAAGAGGAGCAATTATTACCGACATGCTGTGATTTCAGGCTCAGGAAGAGAGGTTCCCACCGAAATCTAAAATTACCCGCACTGATCAACCTCTGTCCATAACTCATGAATACATATTTCCAGTCTTCTTTCAGCAGCACCAGAACCTCTGGGGGAGCCTTAGCAGTGGGAGTCATGATAAAGAAAGAGGGCTTATTGTAAGATTGTTCAGCTGTCCTGGCCATCTGCTCAGCAGCAAACATTCTCTGAGCACCTCCTCTTTGCCCCCAAACAAACTCACATCCTGTAGAGAAATGGGTATATTCATTCACCCCCTCAGCCAATACTTATTTCTGGACTTCTACAAGGTAGCAGACACTGCTCTAAGTACAAGCAACAAAGGCGATATTTAAAATATTCAACAAGTATTCAAATATTCAACAAAATATTCAATGAGGAAGGACATCTGCTGGGTCCAGTCTTAACCCTTAAGTTGCTGGACCAGTAGGGATTCAGAGGTGGCGGACCAGGATGGCTGGGATTTGGGGAGGGGTGACTGCTATTTACCAGCCAGTATAGAAATAGTTTAGTATTTTACCAGCTGGGAAAGCCATATGAATAGGTACCCATTGACAGTGTGGCTTGGGGAGAGAGGGGGACAATTCAATCAGAGACCTCATGGATTGAAGGTCTAGGGCAGGAGAAGCGAACTTTTTCTGTAATGGGCCAAGTAGTAACTATTTCAGGCCTCAAGGGCCATATGGCCTCTGATCTGGCCACACAACTCTTGCAGCATGAAAGCAGCCACAGACAATAGTAAACAGATGAGTGGGGCTGTGTTCCAAACCAAGTTCATTAATAAAAGAGCAGGCTGGATTTGGCCCATGGGCCAGGGTTTGCAAAGCCCATTCTGCTGGATGAGATGTGCACACCTGTTCGTTATACAAATATTTGTTCAAGCATCCTCTTCATGGCACTGGGCACTGGTATACCTTACTGAACAAAAGGTAAATGGTCCCACATAGCAACGTTCTAATGGGAGAGGCCAAAGCAATCCTTTTAAATGTGGTATAGTAAATACTAAGATGAAGGTAATAGGGAAATCCAGAAGGGGAAGGAAGTCAACCCAGGAATCCAGGGAGGGCTTCCTGGAGGAGGTGACAACCATGTTGCCTGCTCAGATCAGTCTGAGAAGCACATGTCTTTCTCTGTGGGTCGTCTGTCATCACCGGCTTTTCCTTTGTGTCTCCCAGTCTCTGAACAGCTACAATGAAGGAGACATCGAAGGATCCAAGCGGCTCGGGAGGAATGCCAAGTGGGTGGCCATCGCCTCCATCATTATCGGCCTTCTCATCATCGGTATTTCTTGTGCAGTTCACTTCACAAGGAAGTAAGTCGGCTTTTTTTAATCCCTCCCAATATAGAATGCCTTCTCCTGAGTGCCCACAGCAATCTGTGAGGACAGGTTAGGTTATGTTCCAAGAGCAAACAATCCCAAACAAAAGAGTTTTCATTTTTGTTTCACTGGTGGTACATAAGCCAGGGAGCTTTGTGAAGGGTCTCTCCTCTACCCAGTGACTCGGGGTCCTGCCTATCCAAAGCCCCACTGTCCCTCAGCTGCTCTATCTAGAACCCGGATCAGTAAACTTTTTCTACAAAGGACCAAAGAGTAAATATCATCGGTGTCTATCACCATCGCATGTCACTACTTAACTCTGCCCTTTCAGCACAAAAGCAGCCATATACAGTATGCAAATGAATGAGTACGGCTATGTTCAATAAAGCTTTATTTACAGATATCTAGGCCAGGGGCCGCAGTTTTCCAATCTCTGAGAGAGGAGCGAGGAGGACCAGAGAAACCCACATGGATTTGCAATGTCTCGGCCCTGGAGTGACAAATGTCCCTTAGGCTCACAATGTATTAGCTAAAACCAGTCACACAGTTCCACCTTTTCATGAGACAGAGGGAAATGTGGGAGAATCAATGCAATATTAGGATTTTTGCTTGCTCTGCCTTGCCATCCGATCCGCTAAATGATTTCATGATTTATTTTTTTTAATTTTTTTTTTATTTTATTTGACAGAGAGAGATCACAAGTAGGCAGAGAGGCAGGCAGAGAGAGTGAGAGGGAAGCAGGCTCCTTGCTGCGCGGAGAGCCTGTTGCGGGACTCGATCCCAGGACCCTGAGATCATGACCTGAGCCGAAGGCAGCGGCTTAACCCACTGAGCCACCCAGGCGCCCTGATTTCATGATTTAGACTACCTGTTCTGCGTCAGGGTGACCACATATTTTTGGTATTGCCAACATGCTCTCATCTCATAAAGAGGCGGCTGCCATTGCTATCTCTCTCCAGATTTGGATGAATTTATCCTCATTTCTCGAGCCAGCTGAGATGGGTTGAATCTGCTACAATCACTGACACTTCCCGTCGGAGGCTTGACAGAGGGCAAGGTCATGTGACAGATGACCAAGGCCCAGAAACGACAAGCCCAGATCCATCTCTGTCTCACTGTGTCACTCCTGGCAGGGAAGATAAGGATTCTGAGACATTCTTTAGCTCTTCTGCCAGAGCAACACAGTGAGCTGCACACCATTTCCCTCAAGCTGAGAAGGTCAGCCCCTTTGGCTTAGTTTCAGGAAAGGCTCACATGGTGGGCAAGGAAGGAAGGGGACACCCGTGAGCCTGCCAGATGGGCCAAGCCAACCTGGGCAGTCAAGAGGGTAGTGCAATGACACAGGAGGTCAACTTCCTATCAGACAAGCCAGACCCAGCGGCAATTGGGACAGCTGGATGGGGGGCAGATAGGAAGACAAAAGTGTCACAAAGGAGAAAATAGATGTTTTAGACCAAAGAGAGAAGAAAAGGACAGTGGAACTTCAACAGAAGCACAAGGTATCTTGCCTACAAGATGGAAAATGGACAATGTTGGCCTATGAAGATGGTCAGAGAGCAGATATGAACACACTCAACTTCATTCTTTAAGGAAGGCATTGCGTGCTTGCGTGTGAGCATTATAGGTATTATAATGCAGGTTTGGCACCAGACTTCTGGGCTTCCCCCTGTGCCACTTACTGACAGTGAGACTCTCAGCCAAGTGCTAAACCTCCATTTCTTCTTCCGTAAAATGGGGATTATAGTAGTATCCATTGAATAAAGCGATCGTGAAGGTTCATTAGATGACCAGCACACATACAGCATGGTGTCTGTTCCTTAGTTAGTTCCCCAAAAAGGCAAACCATTTACTAACCCTATTATTACTACTGTTATCAGTTATCAACCTGGCTGGGAGAGGACCTCAGAATTTAAGATGCTACCAAACAGAGTTCAAGGCTTTGTGCTCATGAGCTCAGTTCAAAGGATGGTGTTCCAGGGGAAAGAGGCCAAGTCTTGGCCTAACTCCCAGGGACTTGGGAAGATACATACTGCCCAGATCAGTGTTGGCTGGGTTATAATAATAGCAGCTGACACTGACACAGAATTTAGCACAGGCCCGCTACTGTCTGAGCTCTTACGTGCATTAATCCCCACTGGATCCCCACAGCAACCCCATGAGATGGGTATTATGTTCACTTTGCAGATAAGGAAACTGAGACTCGGGGGAGAGAAATAACTTGCCTGATGTCTCACACCTGGTTAGTGATAATGGCAGGGTTTAACCTGGGATAATCTGGCTCCAAGAGCTGTTTAAGCTGTGTTCTTCACCACAATGCCACACTGCCTCTAGGCCAATAACTAGTATACTCCGTAACAAAAATCAGTGGATAGTACTCACCTTGTGGCTACCTCCAGAAGTGATTTATATTGGGGAGGGGGGCGGGTTATGGGGAAGCTTCAACTTGAAAAATAAAAAATGTGTGATAAGACAGCACCAAGGGTGGGCGCCTGGGTGGCTCAGTGGGTTAAGCCTCTGCCTTCAGTTCAGGTCATGATTTTAGGGTCCTGGGATCAAGCCCCGCATCAGGCTCTCTGCTCAGCGGGGAGCCTGCTTTCCCCTCTCTCTCTGCCTGCCTCTCTGCCTGCTTGTGATTTCTGTCAAATAAATAAATAAAATCTTAAAAAAAAAAAGGCAGCACCAAGGGTAACAAAATCAAAACACTGCAGGAGGTACGCAAGAAACATACATGAATGGAGTGGCCTGGTTGTGGGGCTATAGGGAGTGGTGGGGACTGCAGCGGTGTTCCAGAGCATGGTTCAGCTGATTGTGACCACTTAGAATGCAGACCCCAGGAAGCCCATATTTCACAAAAACACTGGAAATGTTTTTCATCTCAGATCTCCTGGGTTTTGGATCTTGGCAAACAATTCACATCATTTAAGCATAGGATGAGGGTCAAAAACAAAACAAAATGAAAAAAAAAAAAAAAAAACACATTCCAGCCTGGACATTATTTACTTTGCAGTCTCTGGCAGGCAATGTGGCTTTCAGAGATCAGTATGTCCATTAGATACCATCCAAGAAGTTTCACAAGGGACCCAGAAGTCCTCATATGTGGGGACTTTCTCCATTCTTAGTATCAGTGTTTCCATCTGGAGACCAAGCATCAATGTGGATTAGCTTGGGACTGAGGTTCTCTTAGCAATTGTAAATGATCGAGAGGAAGTTGCCCTCTCTATCCCTTCTTGCTAAGAAGCAGTGTTTCACACCGTTAGAGCCTGGCCCTCAACTCTGGCTTCACCAGAATTCAAATCCTAGTCCCACCACACAGAGCACCCTGGCAAGTTACTAAACTCTTGTCAGCCTCAGTTTCCATATCTGTAAAGTGAAGCTAGAATTACTTCCTCACCTGTATGGTTGGTTCTTTTAGATACCCTTCTCTCTCTGTTATCAAAGAAAACAAAAATGTTTTCCAGAGTTAGAATCCCATGGAGAATCTCATATTTAAAGGCTTTGTCGTGTGTGTGTGTGTGTGTGTGTGTGTGTGTGTGTAAGAGAGAGCAAGAAACTAGCCCTTAGAGAATGAAATCAATTCTATCTTCTTAAGACCAGTAACAGGCGAATTTCTCAGTAATCCTTTGAAATAAAATTTCCCAGCCCTGGGAGGAACTGAGCAGCAATGTGGAATTACTATGGCAGAGGTTCCCTAACTTTGAGCTGCATGCAAGTTACCTGGGGAGATTTAAAAGAAGTTGACATCAGGGCCCCATCTCAAAGGACTGAAAGTCATTAAATCAGCAGTGAGCCCCAAGAATCTGCATTTGCCAGCTCCCCGTTCCCACCTGGGGTTTGGATGCAGGTGGTCACCACAATACTCTTTGCCCAACCTCTTCCCTCCTGAACCCAAAAGGAAGAATGCGCTAACAGAAAATAGCCTTTAACAGAGGGACCAGTCTTCATTTCCATCAGCAAATTCATCCCCCAAAATGTGTTATGTCTCACTCATTGCCAGGGAAGGGAGTCAAATTATGGCCAAGGAGTGGGACATACCCACGGGAAGGCTCTTTTGCAACAATCCTCAAGGCAGTCAAGGTTTCCGCTGAGGGGGCCTGGGGAAGTCTGGTGTTAGAGGAGCCCAAGCCTAGATTTGAGGCAAAAAGCTTCGAGTAGGTAACTTTTCTGAATTTCACTCAAAAGAGTTAAGTAAACACTGGCTTTTTAAAAACTATGAGGTCCTACCTTTATTTTTTTTTTTTTAAGATTTTATTTCTTCATTTGACAGAGAGAGAGATCACACATAGGCAGAGAGGCAGGCGGGGTGGGGGAGGGGAGCAGGCTCCCTGCTGAGCAGAGACCCTGATGCGGGGCTCAATCCCAGGACCCTGGGATCATGACCTGAGCCGAAGGCAGAGGCTTTAACCCACTGAACCACCCAGGCGCCCCAAGGTCCTACCTTTAAAAAAAAAAAAAAAAGTTTTATTTATCCTAATCAACAACACTCTAACTAATCCCAAAGTCCCTGTCTTTCAAAAAAATTTCTCTGTATCCTTATCGAGAGAACTGGAACCCATCTCTTCTCCCCCAGATGATGGAAATTCCAGGTGGACAGACTGGGATCATCAGAGTCTTTACCCAAACTCAGAAAAAAGTCTCATTCATCCTACTTTCACAGGATATCTCTGTAAGCCATGTGGCAGTGGGGGCAAAGGAAAATAGAGTGTCGTGACATGAAATCCACAAGGACTTGGAATCACTGACCCTAAAACATTCAACAGCTTGGGATAGGAAGCAGTGCTCTCAGAAGAGAAGCATTCTGGTGCTGACTGAAGCAGAAATTTGCAGGCTCTCAAAGCCATAAAATTCCCTATTCTCCAGCTGCTAGGGAAAGAGGAGAAATGAAGTTCCCTGCCTAAATCAACCTGTCTACAGGCTTTCACTTTCTGCTGGTGTCTTGAGGATTCAAGCAAAGTGAGGTTATTCCCGTCGTGTTTCCCAAAGTCTTGGAAACATCTATGACAGATTTAACTGGGATATTTGTGAAAATGCAGATTCCTGGCCTCCAATCCAGACCCCTAGTAGACCTGAAACTCCCCTCCCAAATAGTTTTAGGTATTCTGAAGTTCTAGAGCCATTCTTCTAGGACCTTGCATATAATGGAGAACATTCTTGCCTGTGTGAACATATGTCACAAAACAGGACTTTTTTACATCCTTAAGCCTGATAGAAGCTTCAGACCCTGCTGCTTCCTCCTTACTCCCTAGAAACTTTACACGACTCCCAGGTTTGTTCTTCCCTCTCTTCTCATGATCAAGCTCATGGTCACATATCTGATGCCTTGTAGAATTCTGTGGGACTTCCTTAGCAGCAAAAACAGTTGACCATGATAAAGCTTGGATGTAAGGTAGACGAGTGTTGCCCACCACAAATATGACAGTTGACATTCAGGGCACTTTCATCTTACTCAGGGGAGTGAGGTTCAAATGTCAGGACATCATAGGAACTTGGAGGATAATCAAAATTCATCTTGGAAGCATCCCTAGTGGGATGCCCCATTAAGAGATTCACACCCTGTATCCTGGTCAGCCCAATAGAGCCAATGTTCCCACCAGTGTTGGAAGAGACGACATCCCTTGGGTTGAGCCTGGGCTCAAACAGCTGGCTGTTTAGGGGTCACGGCATATGTTCAACACTGGAACCAGGCTCTAAGCTCACACAGAAGGAATAGGAGTCAAATGCCCATCTATGCTCATGAGCACTGACCATGGTGATGGCCAGAATCTTCAGCTCCATTTTCTTTTGGAGAAACATCAATGGTCCATTCACCATACGTTAAATGCATATACAATGCAACTCCGCTGAACTTATACCTCTGGATGGCCTTGTAGGTCTCTAAATAGCCAAGCACACCCCTACCATGTATTAAAAATGCTTGTCTGTCATTCTTAGCAATGAAAGCCTTCGTGCTCCAAAGTTTCCATTAAGGAAGAATGTGACCTCCTAACTGGATTAAGGATCCCATGGCAGTCGCCCATTAGCCCACATAAAGTTAGCAGATGTTAACCCATTATGCACTGGTAAAGCTTAGGTCTTATAAACAAACTGGCATAAATCCTTTGCTGGCTGCAAAATATCCTTCAGTTGCATTAGGATTGGAAGCAAGCATATGCATCAAGGTGGGCAAGAAGCAAGAAGCTGGCCTTTTTGCAAAAACGTAAAAGCAAATCCATCTTCTTTCCTACATGATGGGTTGGACTATAAAACTTCCTGCATAGTTGTGTCTTCAGATAATTCTTGTGATCTCATGATGAAAAATGGGGAACATTACCTACTTCCAGAAGTCACACCTAAGTCATCATCAACAATGGAAAGATTTTGGCTTTGAAAAGGTTATAAAGTGGTCGGCTCTGGCAAAGAAATCAAAATAACCATGAAAAAGATGTTCGACCTTCCCAGTAACCAGAACAATACAAGTTAAAATGACAATGATACATTTCTTTTTTTTTTTTTTGTCTGCCAGATTGAAACAATTAAAAAGATGGATAACATCAAGATTAGCAAGAGTGTGCAGAATTAGATACAACACTCTTGGCAGAAGAGTAAATTGGGATAGTGTTTGGGAGGTCAAGTTGGATACGTCTATTAAACTTTAAATTCCATCAGCCACCCACTCAGCAATTCTACTTCTGGATATCCTCCCGAGATACAAGCGCACAAAAAGGATGTAAAACAGTGGCTCTCTTCCCTAGCTACACATTAGAATCGCCTGGGGAGCTTTAATGAACAAAAACAAAACAAAACAAAACAAGAAACAATGTCCAGGGCCCACCCTGAATCAGTTAAATCAGAATCTCCAATGATAGGGCCGGGCATTGGTAGGTTTTAGGGCTATCCAGAGGATTCTAATGCAGACAGGGTAGAGGACCAAGAATGTGCAGGAAAGTTCATTGCAGCTCTGTTTGAAATAGGGGAAACCATGAAACAACCTCAATGGCCATTGATGGGGAAATTATTAAAATACACAGTGGTTTATTCAGAGGACGGAATGCCACACTGCAGTTTACACATGGATAATCTCCCATACTATGGCGTATGAGGCCCCACATGATCTGGCTGCTGCCTCTCTGTCTTCATCTCCCAGCACACTGCCCCTCCCTCCTCCACTTCAGCGACACTGAGTATGCTCCTGCCACAGGGCCTTTGCACTTTCTGGTTCCTCTACCTAGAATTTCCTTCCTCCTAATAGCCACATGGCTTGTTCCCATCTTTCCTTGAGATGCTTGCCCCTTTGTTAGCAGAGAGGCTACCGCTGACCATCTTCTCTAAAATAGCACCCACAGCCCTGCCCTCCTTCCCTTGGTCCCCTTATCCCAACTTTACTTTTCTTCCTAGTACTTACCACTCCCTGAGAAACCAAATATATAATATAAATTATACATAATTTCTATAATATACTGATATATAATTATCCATTTTATATATTAACATACACATAATCATATATACTTTTATGGTCTCTCTCATCCTACTGGAATAAAAACCAAAAACACTTTCATTGCTGTCACTGTCCATAATAATAGAGCATAACCCCTCAGGATGTTCACTTTGAAGCTGATCTGTTGGGTTTTAAATGCAGGTCCCACCTCTAAGTAGATGTGTGCTCTTGGGCATGTCTTTTAACCAGTCTTTGCCTTAGTTTTCTCACCCAAAAAATGGGGATTAAACAGTACCTAGCCCACAGAACTGTGAAGATAAAATTGTGCCTGACACAGTGCCTGGCACATAGTACTCACCATGTAACTGTGGGACACCTGTCCTCACCAGCATCTAGAGCACTGCCTGCCATGTAAATATTTATTGAATAAATTAATGCATGAATATATATGTATCATATGTATGTTACATTACATACATGACACATACATACAGTATACGGGCATAACATTATCCCATTTACATAAACGCACACAAGATGAATTTCTGAGTGCACACTTATGGATTTAAGTGCAGAGAAAAACACTGGAGGGCGTACACCAAATCTTAACGGTGCTACTCGCCCCTGAGGAGGAGAATGGGGTTCAGAAACGCTCTCGAAGAGTCTTGTTGCATCTGTACCATTTGTGGGATTTTTTTTTTTTTTTTGCATGCACCTAGTGTAAAAGTAAATACGTTTCCAGATAACGATATTTCTCAAAAGGAAGCCAGTGCTTAGACTCAAAAACACAGATGTGCTGGACTTCTCCTAGAGAGAACGGAAGCCCTTGGGCCAAGAAGGCTTGGGCCTGTGCGCGCACTCTCTCTCTTTCTCACTATCTGTTTGTCCCACACAGAGCCTGAGCAGTCAGCAGTCTACTGCGAGCAAGGAGGACAGACCTCATCCACACACACACCCACAGGAGTTTCTAAGGAATGGACCCTTGACTTCAGGACTGTGAGATCTCCTCCTCCAGCAATCTCCAGAGGCAGGTCCCTGGCAAATGAACTTTAAAAAAAGGAAAAGGAAAAGGAAAAATTTCTAAAATGAAGGAAAACCAAGTAGTACTGCTAGAACAGCCAGTCATTGATTAGAAAAAGAAAAGAAAAAGAAAAACTCAAGTCTCACTCTCTGAGTTTAGTGAAAGCCTCCATGTCCATTCCTCTCTGCAGAGATGAGCCTCGGGAAATCTCAGTACTTCTAATGGGGGAGGTGAAGGGGGTCCAGATCTGGCCGGAGGAGGGAGGTCCTAGGAAGAACAATGGGTGCCGGTGTCTGCAAAGTTGGGCACAGACACTTGCAGCATGTTTCAAGTTGTCTGACAGAGTGGAATCTGTACTTTTGTTTTTCCTTTTATTTTTGCCTGTTGGATCTAGTGGGTCCTCCTCCATCAGCTGCTCACCGCCACAACCCCCAGAGTTCAATTGCTCCCCAAAGAAACCAAGGAAAGGGCTTTCTGGCCTTTTATCTTGACCTCGATCTTCCTACGATCCCCTCCCTTGCTTGCATCCACTGCTGTTCCCCTCACTTCACTTAAAGATTCTGAGAATGTACTTCATGGTCAATTCTAGGTATAGGAACACCTTTCCCTTTCCCAGTTTTGGGAATAAACTGGCTGTGTTTTAGGAATGTGCTTTTTTCAAACTCTCTCTCTCTCTTTTTTTTTAACAAGTCTCAAGCACGATCTTTGATTTTCCCGGATGCCAACCTGGAAATGCCACCCACTGTATTTATTTTTTGTCAAAGGTAACCCCTTTAGGTGTGATCGTACTGGTTTAATGATGCCATTATTCTGCCCGCCAAAACACGCCAACCCAGAGTTTCACAGAATGCAAGGCATACAGCTAGTGGTACTCAAGATAATTTTCAAGACAGTTCTAGGACACAACATTAAGTGATACCAATTGCAAAGTATGTTTCCCCTTTCCTAGTCTTGTCCAATGCTGATTACAGCAAAGAGAAAACTTCCATTTAGTTCTCATGGGTCCTCAACACCTTTCCATGACTTTAGCTCTTTTCCCTTCTTCATAAAGAAAACTTCCATTTAGTTCTCATGGGTCCTCAACACCTTTCCATGACTTTAGCTCTTTTCCCTTCTTCATAAAATCAGGTTCAAAGTCGAGATAGAACTTAAGAACATAGTCCTGTTTTTGTTCTATTTCTTTTATTAATCGCCTCCTATTTACAGTTTCCCCATAGGGATAGGATCTATTGTTTCTGTTCAAATACACTTACTTAAGGAAAATAAGTGTACTCAAAGAAAATATCAAGGAGTTAACACAACGGGTGATATGTATACATGGCAAAAATAACTTCAAGAACTCATAGAAACACAGTGGTAATGAACTTTCCTAAGCAAGAAAAAAGGCAGCTTATTCTAAGGAATAAACATGAGGCTGAGAAAACACCTGCATCCCAAGGCCTTTTTGCCACTAACTCGCTATGAGAGGCAAGTTTCTTAGCCTCTCTGTGCCTCGAGTTTCTTCACCTGGAAATGGACATAAAAACACCTGCCTACATACCTCAGAGCGTTGTTATGAGAATTAATCATCGTAATCGATGGGAATGCCCCTGGAGGGAGAGTCTAAGTGCTATCCAAATACAGGATATCTGTATTTGGATAGCAGGATTACTAGGAATCTCAGGCTATTTGTTAAAACCCTGGACCCTAGCAAAACAATCAACGTTGACAGATGTCAGATACCACCTGTCCCTTCACCTGGATGTCTGCCATGAGCCAGCACTTGTCCCAGGAGGAAATGGAATCAGGGCCTTGAATCTCTCAGCACGCAGGGATCCCAGCCTCATTCCAATGTATTGGGTCCTGATTTGTTTCAGACACCTCATTTCTTGTTTGTTTGTGTTTGGGCCCCCGATCTTTTACCCAACTCAAATGAGAAGTGTTGCTGAGAGGCAGAATAAAAATGGTTTTAAGTAAGTCTGTTTGCCATGGTGTGTAAGTTGTGTTTTCTTGGTGCTCCGAACCTTCTAGAGATTCCCATAACCACAGTGGGCTCCTGCATCCCAGCCTAAGCCTGTAGGAAGGAACACAGAGAAGCTGGGGGTAGGGCTGGAGAGCAGTTGACTCAGAAATGCCCTCCCAGGAGGCACTGAAAATGTTCCTTCCACTTAAGTCACTAAAGGAGTTCCCTGGGACCCACAGGGGCCTGATTTTTGCTGGGCCCTCAGAACCCGGCAGAGAGCTTTCATACTGATAAAGTAAGGTGATGGTCTTCTCCAGAGCTTCCTGCAAGGGTGAGATCATCCCTGCTCCACTCCAAAAAGTAGTGAGAAAAAAGACTGACCAAGGGCAGGGGACATGTTCAGTAGCCATGACCCCCCCCCCTCAAAAAAAAGGCTAGACCAAAAAGTAGAGTTTATTGGTTCCTCTAACTGAAAATTCTAGAAATAGCTTCAGGCATGGCTGGATCTCAGCGCTCAGCATTAAGAAATTCTCCCTACCTATTTCTCAGCTTCAACTTCCTGAGTTCATTTTGGTTTCGTGGTGGCCGTGACGGCGGCCAGCAGCTTCCAGCTTCTCCTACCAGTTCGGCAATGTGGCAGAAATGAAGTGTCTTTCCCCTAAGAGCTACGGGGGTGGGGGGGGCTGGGGAGCAGGTATGATTCGAAATAATGCAGAATTGATTCAGAATGAGAACCAGTCCATCGGTACCGACACTAGCCATTAACAAACAGGTGTGGCCACCCTTTCAACACAAACAGAATCCGTGACCAAGGGAGTGTGGCACTCTCATTGGCCTGGCCCGGCTCGTGACTCAGCTAGTAGAACTGAAGGTGAGGTCAGCTCTGCCCAAACTTTATGGATTGAGTGGGGAGGATGGTTTCCCAAAGGAAACCCAAAGTGCTTTTACCAGAAGAAGGAGAGACAGAAGTTGAGCAGAAGAAACACCGCTGTCTGCGTTTGGCATGCTGCTTCTTACAGGCCTGCCCCAAACAAGGGCAGAAGTAATAGAAAGTCATTTCGAAACGTTTCCCCAGTCTGTTGGCGCTCTCATCCGCTCCCTCGCCTGATCGTTATTTACAGAGCTCCTGTTCAACCACGGGCCAGGCTTTGGAGATTCCAGTAGGATCAAGAAAGACCCTGTGAGGAGCAGACACATCGTCAAAAATGCAGAGAAAACGTGAGGATGCTAAGACAGGCATGAACGGGGTTCCACAGTCACTTTGCAGGATGTGTCACTGGCTGTATCCAAGGCGAGCGGAAACAAATGTCCCTGTTCCACGGCTCTGTGCCTTGCTCAGGCTGATATGGCTACAGTCCTTGAAGTTGCCCTATCTTTACCCAAGAGTTATGGGCAGAAGCAGATGCAGACTTAAATTCGCTGGCCTCAGCTCCTGGATCAGCAAATTATCTCTGGCCTACGCTAGGACAGCTGCATTCAGCAAAACAGCATTATGCGTGTATCTTGATATGTAATCCTAGATCCATGCTTCTAAATATAAGAGACGTTTTGGGCCACTGAATTAAAAAAAAAAATTATTCTAAGACAGCATCCACCTTCATTGGCTACTACCAATCCATAAAAAACGCTCGTCAATGTTAGATATTTGAGCCTGGGGAGTTACCCTATAAAAACAGGTCCCTGAACCCACACACTTTGAATTCTGGTTTTGACAGAGGCAGAAGGAGGCATCAAGACTATCCAGGCACCACCCACCGTTCCTGGAGATGCCACAGAAAGAAGAAGACTTCCCCTTCCAATACAGATTTATGTATTATTTATTCCGATGGAGATTTCTTTATGGGGGGTCAAGAGAGGGAAGCAGAGCTGCCGTTGTGTATTCCCCTGGGTCAAGCATCTGTGTTTCATCTGTGTACCTGGTTGGGCAACCACACCTCGGATGGGCCGCCAGGTCAAACCTGGGACGGTCCCAACTCTCATCCCTCTTCCGGTCTCAGCCCCCGCTTGCCTGGTTCACCGTTACACCCTGCCTCACAGAGGGGCCCTGCCATTTTCATTTTCTGAAGCTGTCTGCCCCTGGCACTGCCACCAAGTGTCGCTTCCCCCGGGGTGACACAGAATCCTAAGTATGAGGACTGGGTGTACTGCAGAGTGAATAATATACTGAGAGGCCCTCAGTGGGAGTGGGGGTGGGGGTGTTAAATCCTGCCCCTACAGGGGTAACTAGTGGCCTGATAACCAGCATGACAGAGGGCCTCGCACAGGGCTCAACACCTAGTAGGGAAGGTAAAGAAATACTTCTCAAGCCACTCCCAAAGTTCATCTAAACCATTACAGTAGTTTTCTTATAGGTCTCATGTGTGTCTTCATTGTGGATCGGCCTAAAACAAATACTACAAACTCAGTGACTTGAAAACAGCCCACATTTATTGCCCTACACTTTTGGAGGTCAAAAGTCTGAATCAGGGGTGCCTGGCTGGTTCAGTGGGTTAAGCCTCTGCCTTCGGCTCAGGTCATGATCCCAGGGTCCTGGGATTGAGCCCCGCATCGGGCTCTCTGTCTCAGCGGGGAGTCTGCTTCCTCCTCTCTCTCTCTCTCTGCCCGCCTCTCTGCCTACTTGTGATCTCTGTCAAGTAAATAAATAAAATCTTAAAAAAAAAAAAAAAAGTGAATCAGTTCTCATGGGGCCAAAACCAAGATGCCAGCAGGGCTGCGCTCATTCCTGGAGTTTCTCAGGGAGAATCCATTTCCTTGCCTTCTCCTACCACTGGGGCTCCCTCCCTCTGCTGCAGCCCCACCCTGGCCTTCTAGCTATCTCACACATTTGCCAAGATCATTCCTGCCTCAGGGCCTTTGTATGTGCTGTTGCCTCCACTCAGAACACTGAGTCCCAGATTCTCTCTTTCTCTTCCTCCAGGTCTCAGCTTCTTGGAGAGAGCTGCCCTAACCTGCCCTCCCACCACCCCACCCCTAGGGTCTTCTATTTGCACAGTCACACAACCTCAGAGCTTGGCTTCAAGGTCTGTCACAATGGAGTTAGATAGGGTCAGCGGTTGTATAATTATCATTTAATGCCTGTCTTTCCCAGCAGACTCTCAGCCCCTGTGAAAACGGGAACACTGCT